AATGCCAAAATTATTGAATTGCTAGAAAAACGTGAAGAGGAGATACAAGTTTGAAATTTTAATGAACAATTTTTAAAGTTTGTTTAACTTTTGTGAATTTTGTACAAAGTTTGCAAGATTGGTTTATATGGTTTTTGGTATAGAATCAACTACATTTTAAATAAAATTTAGCAAAAAAGATTTATGAAGGAAAACATTTTGAATATTGTGAAAAAAACTAAATTACGAATACTTGTGTGAGTGACTGTATGTAAAACTCTTATTTGTAATTAACACCTAACTAAATAAAAGCAAAAATTGTTTTCCCAACAGGCTTAAAAAAATTCGGTAGTAAATTAATTAAAACTCTCATAGTATTCATCTAAACGTTTATGTGCCACTTAACCGTGCAAACCTCGGCATTCTCACATAGACCACCTGCTTTGGCGTTAGTTGAATATTCGCACTTTTGAATGCCGCATTTTTGTATGCACTTTCACCAGCTTGCCATAGTTTCGTATCGGAATCACCAATTTAACAAAATCCTCAAGTACATTCTTGATATGTGCCTGTTGTTAAATTGGTACTGGAGCAAGATACGGCCCCGATGATACCTGCAGAAGAATTATTCAAAGCAAAAAGGGAATATTCATACTTTCTTCATGTTTCAATAATCATCATTAATTTCCTTTTACTTGGCAACCTGCAAAGCATAACCTCCGACTTAAGCGACCCGTTATTTAACTATGGCTGTCACAAATTCATCAGGTTTTAAATCCAAAGCAAAGACTTTTTCGTCGACCGTCTTTGCATCATCGGTTCAAATGTAAAGTGTATCCATTGAATAATAGTCACACATTCGCACCTTATGTTTTGTTTTCTTTGCCTATTTAACCAGCTACTCATCCTGATCATAATTCCCCTTATATATGACCTTAATAGAGCGGTACTGTTGCTCAATAGGTTGTTTATTGGACCACGTGCGTAAATTTAAAATTAAATACACAAGTTTGGTAAAATGCATTACATACAAAACGCGTGCATTATCTGTAATTAAAAAAAAAAATCGTAAAACACGTCCATATGTAAATACAGAGAGTAAACTATTTGATTTAATATCATTCATACATTAATACATACCTCTGTTTCTCCCTTCTTCCTAAATAAATTCAAAGTTTGCATGTAACATAGACCGTAGTATACTATAATCTTGTAGGTGATGACATTATTGCTTAAAGACTATTAGCAATCTCATCCCTTAACCTACGGCCCTCATTTTGCATATTGCTAGTTTGCAGCATAAAAGTGTCTTCATGAAAATTCTCTGATGTTGTAAGATTAGCATTTTCATTCCATTCTACATTATACTGTCGACAGATGTTATGCAGCGCGCAACAGACATTTACAATTTTAACTACCTTCTTAGGTTGATAGTGTAAAGTCCTTTGCAAGCAACGAAATCGGCTCTTTAAAACTCCTATAGTTCGTTCTATTATGTTGCGGGCTGAGGAATGCGCGTTATTAAATTTATATTGTTGAGATGCATATTGGGGATCCCGATAGGGTGTTAACATAAATGGTTCTATACCATATCCGGAATCGCCCAGTAGTCTTGATGATCGGTCTCCATTTTCGTATTCCTGTAGAAAATATTGCCGCGCATTGCTTACATTCCATACGAAAGAATCATGGCTTGCGCCGGGGTATCGTGAATCAACCGCACGTATTATCATATTGCTGTCACAAATCTAACGAAAAGCTTCAAATTGCCCTGAAATATCAAAAATCAATATCAAAAATGTAAAATTTACTCACAAGCATCGCATTCATACTAAAATATCCTTTTCTGTTGAAGAATAAATTTTCATTGATATGAGGTTTAGTTATTTGAATATGCGTCCCATCGATACATCCTACGATGCCAGGAATTTTGAATTTGTTGTAGAAATAATCCCTCAACGCTCTTTTTTCGTCTGGATCCATTTTCAACTTGACCCATTGACGG